TATACTAGCAGACCCGGCGAACTTCGTCCCGCCCAAAATTTTTATATATTTTATTGAAACTTTTTGGTCCAAGATTTTCACCAACAATTCACGTTTACAATTTTCATAGGCACATTCGTCTGCTAAGATTATGGTTTGGTGGTCATTTGCCGCTTTAAATAACCTAAGGAAAGTGTTATATCCGTGAAGAAGTTCTTGAAATTCTCCAGTTGTGCGGCATTTTATAGCACGGTTATTCGCAAAGCGAAATAAATTTTTTCCTCTTCACTCCCTGGCGGCAACAACCCGGTTCTATAGTGAATGTCCTAGAAGCTTTACAGTATAGTTGGTGGCAATTTCAAAATGGGTGCGAATCATTGTTCTACAGAAATGCAATATACATATACTTATTTCAGACGAAATACCTTAAAAGTTTGAACGCATAATAATATTTGAAAATCACATCCATTAGGCCAATCGCAACGCAGGAGCGTTCGATATACCCAATGGTGCAACAGGTCGATTTAATCTGACCTTCACTGCCTCTTTTCTCACTTGGCTATTTTTAGTAATAGCTCGACTTCAGCACCACTTGGCAGCACGTTTTTGCAATAGTATTGCATACATATTTAACATATTTAACATATTTAACATTAGCCAAATCGGATCATAAATAAGACTTTTAGTAATAACTCAAATACAGCGCCAACTGTCGGATTAAATTGTGAAACTAAACCATCCAGAGACCCACTCAAACACACAAAAAGTTTCGTTAAAATCCGTACAACCATTTAGGAGGATTTCACTAACAAACACACCTACAGAAGAATTTGAAAATACATTCAAAGATAGCTAAAGGCCGGTACGTTTGTAGGCCTCACACCCCCTTTTCAAATAGCCCAAATTTTCTCCATGAGTATGGGCTTGATTTCAACTACATACATATCTCCACATGAAGTTCCAGTACTGTACCATGCATACTTTCAGAGATATTCAGTATACAAATTCGATTTATATGGGAGGTGCTACGCCCCCCTTTCCAACAGCTGCCCTCTTTCTTCATGAGTATGCGATTGATTTCGTATATCTCCATACCAAGTTCCAGAACTCTACCATGAACACTTCCAAAGATAGGCAGTATGAAAAATTCGGTTTGTATGGAAGGTGCCACGCCCCCTTTTCCAATAGTTCCAATTTTTCTCCAAGAGTATGCGATATATTTCGTACATCTCCATACAAAGTTCCAGAACTCTACCAAAAAATTTCCAGAGATATGCAATATGAAAAATTCGGTTTGTATGGGAGATGCCACACCCCTTTTTACAATAGCTTA